ATAGTTGCCGAAGTGATGCCACCATCTCAGTGCTGGTTCAGCATTAATGAATTGCCCATGTTGAATGCCCAGCAACTTGGCTCTACGATTGTGCTCTCGGCTGGAATAAGTGATGCTGGTACTGCCAATGTATACATCGGACTGCGGGTTGACTGAGCGGGGAAGGTCAGGGCGGAGTTCTACTCGCTGCTTCCAGTACACCGCATTGGTCTGCGAGAAGTGGGTGAAGGTGTACATGTTCGGGTGGATGCGCAAGCGTCGTAGTCGGCGCCTGAGTTCTGTAAGTGCATGTGTGGGACGGCCGTAGTGATGAACCATGAGCAGTGTGGCTAGGGACTCGGCCCACATGGACAGTTGCTTGTTGACCATCGGCATGTTGAGAACTCTGCGACACGTAATGATGATCAGGTAGAGAACCTGATAATTAATATTTTTTTAGGATGCGTTTACATCGAATGCATCACCGACTCTTAGTGCAATGAGCGCAGTGAGGTAGGGAAGGAAGTGGTCGGTGCCGTGTTGCAAGCCAACTGGCCACATGGGTTCAGGGATGCCATAGTGTTTGGCAGCGCCGCATAGTTCTGAACTTGCATACTTGCCGAAGAGCTGCAGGAGAAACACCGTTTCCGGAGACTGGATGACCGGCATGGCTTGGCCATATGTAGCAGGCTTGAGCACCGATGTGTTAGTTGGGGTCAACTTAGAACTACACAGGCTTGCAAACCCCCGAGAACCTAGAACGAGAAAAAGAAAAAGCAAAGGAAGAAAACAGGGCAGGTTCCGGGCACACCTGAAAAGTCAGACCAGAGGGAACCACAACGTCCCAGTGAAAAAGGCATCGACCCACAGGGGAGCAGTTTGATTTGGACCGCGCGCCTAGCAGTGGGGCCTTTTGTGCCAGCCGGTTCATAGTTTGCTAACGTCCTCCATCGTGAGCGCGAGCATCGCTTCTCTCACTTGCCGTACATGTACAGTACCGTGATGAACTGTAGGAGCGCTCGTTTCGATCCCTTACTCACCAGCGAGATAGTCGCCCCCCACTTGACTGCAATGGTTTTCAACTGCTCCACCGTGTCCGACGCCAGCTCCTGCTTGACGAGGTCGAGATAAGTCGCTTGGTTGGACAGCGTGCGTTCCTGCAACCACGCTTTGAAGACTTTGTCCGTGAGACTGGTGGGAAGTGGGACCTGCTGGCCCTTGGGATTGCCCTGACGAAAAAGCTCTGGATCTAGGGTGATGTCCGGGGCGGCCTCTGGAGTCTTGCGCTTGGCCGGGCGTCGTTTGGGAGCTGGATCAGCCTCCGGAGAAGGAACTGGTAGGGGGGGCCCATGAGCATCCGACATCGCTTTGTTGATAAAGAGGGACTGGTCAGAACGGCCAGGTGTAGGAGTCCAGGAAGTGGTATTGGAAGGAGGCGAAGATGGCTGCTTCTTGTCCGGTGTGAGAGTGATGCCTTTGCTCTTGTAGCGCTCAAGCTGATGTTCCAATTCGGCAATTTTGTGGCGGGTGAGGTTCTCCTGCTTGGCGGGCTGCAGGGACTCCATGAGGTCCACGATTCTGAGCGCGAGCGGCTCCATGAACTGCATAGCCTCATTGCGCTTGTCTGGCGCATTGTCCGGGTGAAGGGAGCGGGCTGTCCGATCGATGTCGACTTCCCTGCCTCGCAAGGCTTTGAGGATTGATGTCAATAGCACCGCCTCGGCAATTGTCTGAGCCATTACCGGTGTGCTGTATCGCCCGTTCGATAGCGCTCGGAGCGCGTGATCTTCTGCTCCGACACGAAGAAGACGCGTCAGCGGAAGGTCTAGAATTGCTGTTCCTGCGAGTCCGACCCTGCGAGACCACTGAGTGGGTTGAATATGACGGTATAGTTGCAGGCCACGGACTTCCGTTTTGTCGAGAAAGATGTCATCAGATTGAAAGGTGCCGGGAAGAAGTTGCGCATAGCGAGGCTGAGCATACTGCGTTGTATCGCCTTGGCCTAGGGGTGCACGAGGCTGAAGTTGAACTGGTGGTGCTGGTGGTGGGGGCCGAGAACCTGTCTGTATGTGGGTCGTGCCACCGCCATGATGGTTGTAGAACTGGCTGGGAGGCTGCGGTGGGAACTGGTAGGCCATATGTGGAGGCCGAGGAGGATTGACCCGGGGTACTGCTTTCCTCTCAAGGTTGGTGCTGCATGGGTTCCATCCGGCTGGAGCTTGAGTAGGCTGCTGTCTGGGACTGCGGGACCGACCATGATGGAAGATGCGAAGACATCGGTTGCGAGGAAGGGGTTGCCGAAGTCGCCGGCCATGAGTAGGCCACTGAGAGGCCATCAAGGGATGGTCGTTTATCTCTGGCACTGGCTGATTGATTGACCAAACGCTGGGCATGCGGCACGGGTTGACACGTTGACAAAAGGTTTTCAAACAGAGGCCGGAAACTTCCTTGACGTTAAGACACGCGGATCAACACAAGACCAAGGAAACCACGTCAAGAAGGCCAGCAAAATAAAGTCGTGCTTGCGTCAGAAGGCCCCGGCATGCACTTTTTGTCGCAAAATGCTGTCGGCGGGCGAAGACGGCAATGTGGTATTGCAATGAAACATCATTAAATGTCATCAGGTGCAGCAGTTCGTCTGATCGGGTTGCCGGTGTAGCAAGACCAGCGCATCGATAAAGCTCATGGAAAGCATGACTGCCGAAGCGGTAGATTGGTCATCTGGATCATTGCCTGATGCAGGTTCACGAGCGGAGAATACCTGTGGGTGGTTTCGCGTCGGTAGGCCATGCAAGTCCAACGATCTGGCTGGCTTCTGGAATCACCAGCCAACACTTGCCTGCAACATAGTGTATGACGTCAGGATGCTCACTGGAATCCAACGCCTCGATGCAAGCCCGTTCTCCCCCTCCACGAATCGGCTGACAGGTACCGACAGCGCGCCCGAACAGCAGTAGTTCGGCCATGTTGAAAGACATACTCCAGTTCTGAGACATCATCCGGGCTATTTTTTCAGCATCATAGTCGGGGTGTCCTGTGATCTTCCATCCTTGGGCGTGAAAGGCTGGGCACTCCGAGCTGTGTTGCCGGGAAGGCCGGCTTCGCAATCCTGGAAGCGTGAGTCCAGAGCAGCATGGGTCGCGTCTTCGTTGGTTCTTTGAGCCTAACTGTGGCGCCGAGGTAGGGGACGGTCAGCATGAACCAGTGTGGAGTGATCTTGGAGTAGTGATGGTCCGAATTGACCTTTGCATAGGCCAAGGTGGAGTGCTGAGACGGTATTCCTGCTGCATTTAGGGTAGCGGCCACATAGTCCAGCTGCTCCTGATTTCACCGGGATCTCGTCGCGGACGTGCTGCGAGGCAAGTACCTGAAGTTCTCTCCTCCACGGGTCTGACTGTGGGTTGGGGAGCAGGATCAGCGGTGGGTATGCCTGTGGATTCGGACGTAGTTGAGTGCTTCTCGAGGACGACTCTGTAACTGGATAAGCACCGGTGGTCTTAGGAGCTGGAGCCGATGGAGCACTGCTTCTGCTGCGCGGAAGTGGGGACCTGTTGCTTCTCGGTCGCTGGGATGAAGCTGTAGTCGCTGAAGTCGCGGGAGTGGCGAGATCGCTGCTGCCGTGGATGAGCGATCCGACCGTGCGTTTCTTCGGGAGATCGGTGGTGGCGTCCTGGAGCGAGCTCGACTTCGGCGTTGTGGGGGCACTGACTTGGAGTAGGGGGAAGCTTTGTGGGAACGTGATCGTTCGCCATCCGTTGTGCGGCGTGGTCTTGCCGGTGGGTTGGCCGGTGGCAGCATCTGACTGGATGGATGAGATGCCGACGACATAGGTGTCGGAGTCGGTGCTTTGGTCGTGGTGGTCCCTGGCTTTGGCCCTGGGGTGGCCGGTTGGGAGCCGAGGGCGTTGTAGCTGGCTGTGGAGGTGTAGGACCTGATACTGCCGCTTGCTGAGAGACCGTGGGAGTCCGCAGGGTTGCCGTAGAGGTCGGTGCGGTAGCCGGAGTCGGACATGCTGTAGCTGGAGCCGTTGGGGTAGTTGGGGTAGTTGGGGTTGCTGGGCGCGCCTTCACCAGGATTCGCGGTAGTGGGCCAGCAGCCGATCCAGGCCGGGTGGGAGAAGCAGAAATAGGCACCGTTGCGGCACGAGGAGCAGGGGATGGAGTCGAAGGTTTTGCGGCCATCGAGATGCCGGACGACGTACCAGTAGTGCTGAAGGTCGGTGCCACAAGTGTACTCCTGCTCGGTGATGCTGTCTGGCTCACTGGTGATCTGGGTGGCGTAGGACCCGCTGTGTGATTGGTGGCCTTCGACATAGGGCCTGCTGAGTTCGACATCGGACCTGCGTTGGGGCGTGGCATCTGTTGCCGACAATTGCGAGCCAAGAGCAAGCTGACGGCGTCATGAGTTCTTGCCTGATGTGTCGGGTGGTCTGGTGGTTAGTCAAACAGTTTGTCTGACTGAAAGAGGTCCACGGAAACAGTCAGGGGTGCCGTAACGTCTGGGAGAAGTCCAAGCCTGTGTTGAGAAGGTCAGCTGGAACAGTCAAGCGTCACGAGCAACAAGGTCCGGTAACTGTCTGTAGAAAATGTCATTGCATGAGTCGGAACAGATGCCCACAACAGGGATCAAGACACTGACCGAAGCCCGGACGCAGTGCCTAAACACACTTGATATGAGACGGCGAAACTGCCATGGTGCACCCCCGAGCAACTGGAAGGTGAAAAGTGGAGTTTCGTCAGCTTACCTTCCCGATCTGTTCGCTCACCGCGGCTACTCGTCAGTGCCCATGACTACCGCGACGAGGTACTAAGAAAGGGGGTCGGTTTGCTGGCATGGGCAGACTTCAAGCACAAAAGAACAGCGGAAACCCCTTAGGAACAGGGGGGCCACACACACACACACACAAACAACCAAGCTAGCTAGCTAGCTAGCTAGCCAACAAACATCCAACGTTGCGCCTGGAACATCTTCTCTCAGGCCGTTTGCTTTCGTTTTGGGCCTCCCATCCGCAAGCCTCTCGCCTCTACCCCAGCGTGGAAGAGCCCGCAGTGCGCAGTGCGCAGAGCGCTGTTCAGCACCGGCACATGGAAGTTGTCGGTGAGGTCGTAGACGTGGAGCCACACAGCTTCCCCCTGACCGACTTTTGGCGTGCAACCGTGCCATTTTGGGCCCACGGCGCGTCGAATGGTTGTTTACTTGCCAGAAAACTAAGGTGCAAAGGGAAGGAGACCCCTATGTGACTTCATATTGGAGACCCATGTGACTTTCAGGTTCAAGAGAGTTCCATTGAGATGCCCCTCCCTTAAGAATTCTACCCGGTTTTGGCCATTGAAACCATCCCTGACTAAAAATAATCCCTGACTAAAAATAGGACCATGGGGCATGTCAGAGCGACGATTTGAAATGGGCGTAACTGTTGCCCCCTCCGAGGGCTCCGAGACTCGACTTCAGTCGATTTCCCTTAGGCTTCCCAATCCAAAACCCCAAAAGTAGCCTCAACACCAGGTCAAGGCTCAACCCCCTCAATTAAAATAGAATGCTGTCGCACATGCCCTTTCCCTCTACCTTCCAAGCGACCACTGGGTCCATTTTGGGGGCGCCGGTTACCCTCCCCCAAAAGTCACCCTGGGTGAACACTTTGTCTGTCAAGCATTTTGTTGAGGGCATGCCCTTTAGGGCTTGGTGGGCTCGGAACATGGCACCCCAGCCGTGCCTGCTCCACGCCTGAGTCACATTGGCTAGCGCGGGAAGAGGTCTAGACAAGGAGATGAGGTAGAAAATACCAAACTCCCATCATAACAAACAATTGCCTTGTTCACGCCTTCATGCTCTGTTGTCGAAGGCTCCAAGAAGCCAGGGTCTCCATGAGACAAAGCTCAAAATCACCTGCCACCATAGCTTGATCCAGCCTTGCAGGCGGTTCAAGGGGAGAGAGAACACACCAAGAGTACATGAAACGGCCTTGTCTAGAGGATATCAGCGGTAAATCCAGCGCAAAATACGCCTTGGCTATCGGAGAACTGACTTCGGCCACCCTATGGTGGCCTTTGCTTGCTAGTTGGGCTACCAACTTCAACGGTTGATCTCGCTCCTCTCCAATTGTCATGGGCCACGCGAAGCAACCCGCCGTGTGTCGAAACGACGGCGCCTTTCTTGATGGGCTCAATCCGCGGTGAATGGTGGACTCCTCAGCCTCCTAAAAAACAAAATCCTGGGATCTTTTAACAGGGCTCCCTATTATTTCCCTTTAAGACATCACCCCCAAGGGAGACCTACCTTTCATGGACCAAAAAGGTGAGGTTTAAAACCACCAGAAAAGGGAAATATAGGGACCCCTGTTTAAGGGTGCTGAGCTATGGACAGTGTCTTTCCCCGAGACAGAATCCGGGCACCAAACATACAATACTGTATCAAAGCCTCAGCCTTCTACTATTGAAGGGTGGTTCATCTACCCTAGCTCCTCCCTTGCAGCTGGAAGGCTGAATGAATGCCTTAGATCGAAGAAAACCAATTTTGCAAGTGCTGCCTGAATCATCAAATTCAAGACAAATTCCAAGATTTTCAAATTGGCAATGCTAAATTAGATACTGGGGATTTGGACATACTGCCCCCTGGCAGGCCACGCCCCGTCCGAAAGCTCGGGCCCGGGCGCTCCGCTTCTTGCTCTGCCAGCTTCATGGGCAGCAGCGTCTGGCACTCCGCCGTGGCACCGCCATCCTCAACGCCGAACAGGACGGGAAAGGGTCTGTGTAATCCCCCAAACAAATGTGTGGTTCCGGCTGGTTTCCCGTATCTAAGGCGAAAAAGGCAAGTGGCCACGCCCAAAAGGCACTCTCTGTTTCGGCACAATCTGTTTCACCTTAGATTGTAACCGGCACTCTCTTTTTTTTGTTGCTTCCGGCACTCTCAAAAAAGTCACGCCCAAAAAAGGGCGTGGAACCAGGAAATCCGATCAGCTTCGAGGTGTGACCGGCCTCCAAAACAAAGGAACTCACACATTTGCCTTCGTGGATGTTCAACCTCCCCGAATTCAGATGGAAAATACGGGAGGTCCATGTCCCAAAAGGAGATTTCTCCCAAGACAAGGCGGGTAGTTTTGGGGGATTTTATGGGGAGTGTTCCAAGCTCCTCCCCGCCTTCAGCAGACATGCAGGCACCAAGGTCTGCCACTCGGATGGCCCTGCTGCCATGGCGAACAAATGTCGGGCTGAGAGGTAGATGCCTGCGGAATCCCAAACATATTGCAGCCGTGGGTGTTTGCAATTGGGGCCTAAATGCTTAGAATCCAGTTCTGGGGCACCTCAAAAACCCTACCTAGTCATAGAGGATTAGACTGGAAGATGATTCTGACCAATTTATTGCATGGCTGTTGGGCTTCATTTCTTTCCTTGGCATGTCTTGGGCGAAATGGTAGAGCAAAGGCACCTGTCGCGCATAGTAGGTAAACCTGGGCACCTCTCTTTGAGGATGTGAGGAAAACCCAAAAAGGACACCGAGCATGCAAGGCGGGGGCCTATCCGATTTTGAGAAACACAAACAAAAGACTTCACGGACCTCGGACTCATCTTCCCAAAGTTGAAAGTCCTGCTCAGGTGCCTCAGGGTGGACCTCATTCAACTCCATCGCACGTCCAGTACTGAACTGCCCTCTTGGCCTCTTCAACATCCACGGGATCCTCCATGGCATCCACCACCTGCGCACCAAAAGGTACAGTGAGGTCAAACAAGCGGAGTTCACAATGGCCTTGTGACCAGGCCAAAAACGGCACACGGTGTCCCAAAAAAAACACGTTGGCCGTGAAAGTGGCGGAGACATAGCTGCGAATCTCGACAAGTCCCATCAAGTCCCATCAAGCTAATGCAGTCAAAAACCTGCCCAAACTATCCCACTTATACCCGCAACACGAAACGGGAGAGCACAGTGGAATAGAGCCCCGGATTCAGGGCAGCAGCTCCCAAAACCCCATCTGATCTCTGATACTTTAAGGTTGACTTGGTATACTTGGTTATCTTTTTCCAGAGGAGGCGCAGTATGAAACCTAGACCATGGAAAGTCTAAAGCACTGATATGGACAGCAATGTCTGAGCGTCTAGTTCTGCAAGCAATGCCCTCCTTCTTCCTTCACGCTGCAAAAGCATTGCAACAAACTGACCCTAAACGCACCGGGAAGACCAAAAACAACCAAGGCACGCCGCATAACACAAAAAATCAGAAACGTCAACATCCTTGCCCTCCACTGTTCAGGGGTCCCATATATGTCTCCTTCAAACATCAACCTCGAAGGAAGCTCACATTGCAAAGAACTACAAGTTGATGAGTTTTAATTTTAAACCCTACAACAAGGAATACTGCATACCCGACAAGAACAACGCCGGAAATGCACATCAAAAAACCCATTGATATCCGCCGACATTGCTCGGCGTGTCGGACACCTAAGAAAGGATAGAGGATAACCCCCCCCCCTACCCCCCCCCACCCGACGTCTGATACGTGGGGCCCCCCCCCCCCAAGGACCGCGCGGCAATTTGATGACGTTCCACTAAACGTAGTCTTCGGGCATCCGGTGTCGCAAAACAGGGGTCCCAGGCTCGATTCCCCCTGCCGGCTTTTTTGCTGGCTTGGGCTTCCTGCATCCTTTTGCCGAAAATCTGGAAAAACTCTGTGTTTTTGGACATCACCTTTGCGAAAACGCTGGAAAAACAGTGTTTTTTTGCGGGAAATACTGGGGAGCAAAGGGGAAGTGCAAGGATACATACATACATACATACATACAGACATACATACAGACAGACATACAGACATACATACATTACATTACACAACATCACATTACATTACTTTAAATTACATCACATTACATACATACATACATACATTACATTACATTACATTACATTACATTACATTACATTACATTACATTACATTACATTACATTACCATACATACATACATACATACATACATACATACATACATACATACATACATACATACATACATACATTACATACATACATACATACATACATTACATACATACATACATACATTACATACATACATACATACATACATTACATACATACATACATACATACATACCTACCATACCATACATACATACATACATACATACATACATACATTACATTACATACATACATACATACATACATACATACATTACATACATACATACATACATACATACATACATACATACATACATACATACATACATACACATATACATACAACATACGTACATACATACATACATTACATACATACATACATACATTACATACATACATACATACATACATACATACATACATACATACATACATTACATACATAACATTACATTACATTACATTACATTACATTACATTACATACATACATACATACATACATACATACATTACATACATACATACATACATACATACATACATACATTACATACATACATACATACATACATACATACATACACACATACATACATTACATACATACATACATACATACATACATACATACATACATACATTACATACATACATACATACATACATACATACATACATACATACATTACTTACATACATACATACATACATACATACATACATACATTACATACATACATACATACATACATACATACATACATACATACATACATACATACATACATACATACATACATACATAGCATACATTACATACATACATACATACATACATACATACATACATACATACATACATTACATACAAACATACATACATACATACATACATACATTACATACATACATACATACATACATACATACATACATACATACATACATACATACATACATACATACATACATTACATACATACATACATACATACATACATACATACATACATACAGTACATACATACAGTACATACATACATACATACATACATACATACATACATACATACATACATACATACATTACATACATACATACATACATACATACATACATACATACATACATACATACATACATACATACATACATACATTACATACATACATACATACATACATACATTACATTACATTACATTACATTACATTACATTACATTACAATACATTACATTACATTACATTACATTACATTACATTACATTACATTACATTACATTACATTACATTACATACATACATACATACATTACATACATACATACATACATTACATTACATTACATTACATTACATTACATTACATTACATTACATTACATTACATTACATTACATTAATGTTGACAGTGTATTAGTAATCCCCCCCCTATTAATCCGGTCCACCCAGACCCCCCCAATACTAAACAATTCATATCTCAGAAAAACCCCCCTCAATAAACAAGAATCCAAAACAACCCCCCCCAATTAGACTGGTCCCTCCCCCAGATGGCTGCTGCTATCTCATTTTCTCCACTGCTTGTTGAAGATTGTGGACTCATGCTGCTTGCCATGCTTTCTCTGGATGGTGTCCTGACAAGGTGCTTTGGCTCAAATGGGCTCGTGCTTTCTTCTGGTACCTTTCTCTTCCTGCTGCTGTTTTGCTTAGGGCTCTCATCTCCACCTCCTACTCTCATCTTGAAGCTTGGTGGATGCTTTTGGGCCTGCCCAAGCCACAAAACAAAAAGTGTTCTGAGATGGTCGATTTCTTATTAAATCCTTTGCTAAAAAAATCAAGTTTAGAAGGTTTCAAAGGGTACCCCACATTAGCCCCTTACACACCCAATTAATAAAAC